ACGGCATGGAATTCTGTGGGACGACATTCGTAGTAGTTCGAGAGACCTCAGTAGGTGCTTTAAGATGGTGACACCTATTTAATTATCATTACTGTATCCAAACAGACTTTACCAGACCTATGTATTACTAACATGGCGATGTCACTGAATGTCAATGGTCTGTCGGTGACAACGATGATCAAACATAGAGAGTCATCAAGAATCCTCAACCCGGAGAGGTCAGGTTTCATGAGAAAAACTTCTCTCAAGGCTCAGTATAGGTCCAACTTTCTACGGATAGACTGACATCATGAAGGCGCGAGAGATGGTGCAGATTTTCACGAACCACTCTAGATTTCACTATACGTTAATTGATCTCATCACACATGACGCCACGAGCACTTACTCAACCACCCAGATACACTAATATCTCGACTACTTTTACCTGCTCACTATCCAGAGTGAGGGCATGTTCATGGTCCTGTCAGAATTGTGGAAGAGTCTTGCACTTGGACGGCACATAGGACATTCCATACCTAGGACGCCGATTGACAACTGATTATATGCTGATGGCATGGCTTAGGTATCACCACACATATTCAAGGTCGAAAATTCCTTCTACATACAACAGGTCCACATCACCACTGCCTACATCCATCAAATCTGTTGCTAGAATGTCATCGATGAAAAGTTTGAAGAGGGATGGTGAGATTGTGCAAATCAGTCTAAACCCACTGCTTGGGTTTAGAAGTGGAGAGAAGCGCTTGTATGTACTCATTCTGCTTGATGTGTTTGTATACAGGGCTTTTTCAGGCACACCCTCTGTAGTGGCTGGTACTCTGACAAGCGTGGATTAGTAATTCTAGCTTCTTTACAGACTGATTTATTTATTCACCTCAAGCGGCATTTTGGCTTTGTTGGTTATTCGCTTATTAACTCTGACTGTTTTTATATGATTGTATATGTGTTAATTGCTTGCTTACTAATTACGTGTTTATAACGTATTTTTATCTGAATATATACACTGGGCCACACATGTTCAAATTTTGTTGTCAGACTCACCTTCTCTATCGCGCGTCACTTCGTTTTCTTTCGCTTTCTTCACTTCTTTTCTCTGACTGTCTCTTTGGATCAATGAGTATGTGAAATATACGTACTTATAATTTCTTCTCGTAAATAGTTTATTCTATTCAGATCTCTAGCGCGACATAGGTTGGTAATTATATACTGTAGCGGTAAATAAATCCACAAAATAAATAGCTCTGTAAGTTTTCAACATTGGATGCTGACTACATTAGTCTCAATGGACTCACCTAGCTGAAGGCGCTCGGTCATTCATCCGCACCAGATCACGTGTGGTAACGCCGTGCTCAACATCCCCTGCAATCGCTAGCCAGATTAAATCAGACGATCCTCGATATATTGATAGCCTATCAAGTATGCCTTCGAACCTCCTCACCTTTGTCTTTTGATTTCACTTGGTGGGTACGCTTCATATAGAATGTGTTACTGGTTAGAGAGTTGTCAAATTCTGAATACCTGTGGCATCTTCAATACTTAAGTTGGCGGCTTGTATACTTCAATAGTACTGAAGATGACACAGGTATTCAGTGTTTGACAACGCTTCTACCAGTAACACCTAATATGATTTGTACCCACCGAGAGAAATCAAAAGACAGAGTCGAGGAGATCGGAAGAGTGTATTTGGTGATTACCAAAATATCGGAATTCTCTGATCTAATCTGGCTAGCGATTGCGGTTGATGTTGAGCACGGCGTAACCACACGTGATCTGGTGCGGATGCCTGACCGCGCGCCTTCAGCTAGATGAGTCCACTAAAACATATGGTCAGCATCCAATGTCGAAACCTACAGGGCTATTTATTTTGGGGATTTATTTACCGCTACAGTATCAGCATGCAAACTAACTAAAGTTAGATATAAAGCTGCGAAACCTTCTGCAATAGAAAGTTTCTAAAAACAGGCTTGTTGAACGAATCGCAGGAGTCCGTAAAATTGAAGAACACTACGATTGTTTGTCTGTAATAAGTATGGCGAAGTTCTAACATTTGGTGGAAGGTCAAGACAGGATCAATACATCCTCAACCAGAAAGAAAACAAGTTTGCACCTCGCAACCTGAGAGGTTTGAGTCTGTGGCCAGTAATGCGATGTCTGTCGAACACACGTTTTGCAGAAGAACTGTTAACTGGTGGTAAATCTCATCATTCATCGCGTCTGGTCTGCAATCTATGGGAATTTTGAGAGGACAGTGAATGACATTGTTTTTTAAAAGAATATCTTCGCATTTCGATGTAATTTTCTAATCTAATATTACATTATCGACTGTTAATGGGCATCCAACCAATGAATGATTAATTGTCTCTAGTGCTTAGTACGACATAGTATCCAGTAAAACCAGACAAATATGCCACAGTGTTCGCTGACGAACTCTTAACACTCTAATTGTAATAATGGTCCAATTGCTTTGCCTATTCGTGCTTTCACAACTGCATCACGCTCCTCTTGTTTATCAATCATACTCTCTAGATATGTAAATGTCTCCACCTCTTCCAGAGCTTCTCCACTAAGAGTGATTAGGTTGGTTCTCTCTGTGTTGTATTTAAAGATCTTGCTTCTCCCGTTATATAAGTTGAGGCCTGTCGGTGTAGTCAGCTGCTACACTAACTGTCTCCACCTGTATTTGTCGTTCTGCACGGGGTAGAACAACTAGGTTCTAATCGTCTCCAAATCGTCTCTCTTCATCAAATAAAATCAAAGAGAAACGTGAAATCATTGTTGCACGAACTAGATTAAGTTGTCGATAGCAATTTAATGTACATACACACTCGTAGATAAGTCTTTTGTTACATTCTAAATATGTTTATAGATGACCGGATCAAGGCATATAGCACAGACTTCACCCCGAGAACAGAACAAAAACATTGGTGATGTCTAATGTAGTATATCAAACAGAAGTTGGTTCAGTGATCCTTTAATATGTTGATAATATGTTGTATTCTTTTCGTATAAATGACTCTTAGTTTTTTATCAATTTGTTAAAATCAACCTCTATCCCTTTCTCCTAAAGAGTAGAGCATATTCGAAACTTGCGGAACGAGTATGTACGTGTTTTATATTTGTGAACAAATATTAATTACTTCAGTTCCCCCCTTGACTAACGTTTCTGTGTTCATTTACTGGTTTCAAGTTTATTGTCGTATAACTAAGCATTATTACATAATTTCATACTCAGGCTCTGACATAGTCATAAATGCTTCGACAATTAATGTCTCTGTGGCATTGTGACACTGTCTTTTCCTCAGTGTTCTCTGTTATTCCTACATCCGTTTTATTTTGCATCAGTCGGTCCTCAACAAACTAGCTGTTCGTCACTTCAAAGCAAATTTACCCAACCTCCATATTTCGGGGAAGCCGCCATAGAAAGTTTTGAGAAAATGGCACAAATTCTCGAAAATTTAACGTTCTTCCCCAGTTTTCTCTAGAATCTTCGGAAACCTGTTTACGTTCTTCGGTCCAATCCCATTTCTTTATCGCATTTTAAAGACATTGTGCGGTATTTCTAGTTATCCCAAATACCGCATTCGGAAATCTGCAAAATTACCGATTAAAAAGGAATGCCTAGCGATTTAATAATAGTTACCTTAAAGTTCCCACACATCTATTCCATTTTTTAATAGTTTACTTCGCATAATTAACGCACTCTCAAATCCATTAAACCACAGTTGGTAACAATTCTTAGCAATCGCTCTTGCATTTTTGGATAAGTACATCAGGTTGATGCTGAACTTCCATTCGGTGTTCTACAAAACTAAGAAAAGTTTCTCTTCAGCATTATAAACAGTCTCAGAACAGCCGAATTGCTTATAGTAAACAAACAAATGTCATAGCAGTCATCCAACGTATGAATCTATAATGCCATGTGAAAGGTTGATTATGTACTAATGGTATAGCATTAATGTTTTCTGAATAAAAAACTGAAGTCTGCTAATACCTGCGAAGTCAGCCGAAAATAAAATGGACAAGAAATAATTTCAGTATAAATGTTTACCAGAAACTAACATAAAAACAGAAACCGGTATTTAATCACAGGTCTAAAGTGCATTTAGCCCATCCTTTCTTTGTATCTCCATCCACGCTTACTTACTTTATCTCTTGCGTTGTGTAAGAAAACGTGGCTCGCAACATCCATGGCTTGTATTATTTGGTTCTCTGGATAGGTTGCACTTCGAAAAAGTGAACACAGAACATCTATGAATATATTAAAACTGATGTGAACTTACTTTGAATCGTCCTGTAGAATATGTAATTGCCAATACCTGTTTTACTTTTAGCCCCAAGTAAGGTATAAGTAATTGCTATTCCCGGCGTCAGCACGTAAGCTATACGTGATCTGGTTGATTTCCTATGATCATTACATATGATCTCGGATAATCTGGTCACTTGAAATTTTATAAACACCTGCCACTACTTATGGACTGGTCACGAAACTTGTGCTCTTCTAAAGCAACTCCAAGCACGCATTTCCTCACGTGTTTTCAGTGGGAATGAGAAATTTGAAGTATCTGCTGTCGTTGTGCCTGTCCGTCACACCCATGGATGAGCTTATGTACGCAGTCAGTTTGTCAATCTTGCTAAACATCGCACCAAGTGTGAGGGCAACATTGAAAAATCAAGGAATATCGTGAGAGTTTACTTTGTTCCCTCTTAAGTATAATTCAAATCACTCTGCATATACTATACTCATTTACAGATTCCACATAGACCTATTTTTGATGAACTGTTACCATTTATCCCTTTCATGCAACCAACACTACAATTTAATACTGATTAATAGGATAAGTTTGTCGTATACACTTATATTAAGTAGAGAAAATGCCAATAAAAATACAAATAGTTATGTGAATTAGATGACGTCGACCATAATCGCAGTCGATATTAAGTTTCAAATATAGGTTCAATTAATGTTACTGAAACCACTAATACTTCGACTTCTTTGAATCCCACCACCGCTGAGGAAGTGTCGAGTGCTTTAAGTTCTTTTGACGTCAATGGTTAACATCTTTTACTTTCAGTTCCAGAACGTTTCAATGGTGACTCGCATAAGTGCTCAACCATTGCAGAAGACAATATAGTCGGGCGTATTGGTCAATTCACTTGAAATACCGGGCGATAGGTGTGCTGAATAGAAATATGAATAGGCAGGTTAAGTGGTACAGTGATCTGGAGTTCTGTTAGAGGTATAAATGCGGTTGTCACTCCCCGGTTGCCCACATCGTGGAAGGGCTCTTCTAGAGGTACCTGAAAAGGAAATTGGATTAGAGGTAGTCTTAGTGACCTGAGAGCGTGACCGCAGTGTCCAAAGAACAAATGCTCAAGACCGGTTACACACGATCTTTTTGTGTTAGCTCCGTACTTGTTGGGACCTTACCGCTGGAGATGGATATCCGTTGGATAAGGCGAGGTGTGCATTTTTACGGTCGATCTTTCCTAACCCCATCCTTCCTTGTGGTAACGTAGCATTGCTGGTTGTCTGAGGGGAACACCTTACTACCGTCACCTCTCTGTACAGTCAGCAGTATGACTTCGCCCTCGGAGCTTGGGTTTGCTGCTTTCAATCTCATCGCATGTTAGGGCCTTGACGAACGATTGTTCCAGCAAGTATAACTCGACCGGTTCAGTACGATAGGCAAGCTTGATCACCACGTCAAGGTAGCAGCAACGGTCAGGGATTAAGTGATTAGCTTAACCATGGAAATTCCAATTGTTGGCTTGAGCCGTCTCGGGGATACTCATTCTCAAATGAGAACTTGTTCAACACATCACTGGTTGTAAACGGGTGGTGGTTCGTAGTCGTTCTTCGTAGCTGTAACACATTAATTCTCCCCTAATTTTTGGACGTAATTTTCAACTTTTTATCTTTTCTCATATTGTTTTGACTGAGAGTTATGTCTAGATTTTCATTGGTGTTAATATCAGTCCCTCTTGCTTCTCATCCCATCAATATTCCCTCAATTTTGTGAGATATCCACTCATCGAAGGGTGCGATTATTGGACAATTCACTATCTATCGCTGTAGTTAGGTATAACTTTCAATGAACATACATGGATTACTAGTGTTTTTAACCTTTTAAGAATTTCGTGTGACTAGAAGCCTGGTCATCCTAATTGAATAGTTCTATTAGTGTTCCAAACTAGAGTGCTATTTAACAACAATGTGCTCCGGTCACCATCCATTAAAATAAAACAAACCATCTGTTTAGAATTCCGTTATTTGACCATTCAAAGAACTTGTGAAATTAAACTCAGGTGTCATGTGTTTTCTGTTGACATTTATATAGCGTTTCCCAAGTTCATTAAAATGTAGTCTAGATTATTATCTAAATAATTACTAACGAATTGTGCTTTGTATGAAGGTGGCCTCTTCATGTTTCGCATGAAGCATTCAAGCTGTTGTGTGGTCCGATCACTTTTTATATCAATATGAATCATGATGAGTTTAAGTTTAAGATTATACAGTCTTCGACAATAAAAAATTTGAAGTGCTTGTCGTCAGGACTATTTTTCTACAAAATTGTTAATTGATTAAATTTTAAATGCCGTTAAATGTCAGCAACCAAAAACAGCTTGCATATGATATTTTACTTTTTTAGAAAAGCTCAGCTGTTTTATCAAAGTAGTCGTTGCGTTGGTTGACAATGACGTTTCACACAGGGCGTCTGTTGGTCGGTCGTGAAAAGGAGCAACAGTTTTTGTTTTCGTTAATGTGTAAAGTACGTATGAGCTTTGATTGGATGTCGAAGATAATTACAGAAAAACCCTTTATCCACATGCTTTGTTATCACAGGCCCTCCGGGTTGTGGCAAATCAGTTTTAGTGTCCTCAACATTCGAACTTCTGGAAGAGTCTTGTGGAATGCTATGGGTGTTAATTAGCTGCCTAGAAAGCTTTGTGGGGACCCAAGGGACATGTGGAGCTACTTCATCAAGATATTTTCTTGAATTGATTTTACAGTCGATTAAGTGTCGTTATCTGCCCGAAGCTGATTTATGTATTAGTTGTGAAGATACCTCCAGTTTCATAGATAACTTATGTCAAATTTTGCTAGCTATTGGGGCTAGAAATACTCATGACCAAAGTAAGTTTAGATAAACGGTTGTTTTCTATATTTTCAGCTTGTGTGGGGTTAATTTTCGAACAGGCTGAGAGACTGTGCGATGGAGAATCACTAGTCCTCCCCTTAATCATCGGTCTTGGAGCTTCTGTAAATGAAAAGCTAAATCAATTAGGCAGTCTTCACACACCACTGTTGTTCACTGTCCTGGTAACTAGGTTGCCATGGGAGAAGTTTAATTTCGGGACATTCAGTTTTGAACCTTATGTTATCTCTGTTGAAAGTTATTCTCGTGACCAGTTGGCAAGATTACTTACATCTTTGTTACCGTCTAATGCATCTGAATCTCGTTTCAACAGGTTTGTTGACTTACTATTAACAGTTTGCTTCCCTGTTTGTCGTAACGCTGGTGAACTCATTCATTTAATGAATGTAAGTACCTTTAATTTTAACCTTTACAACAATAGATAAACTGGAATGCTTTTGATGAACCTGTAAATAAAGGCTTGGTTGCCGCGGACGATGAATGGGGTCAGTGGAAGTTGGCTCAACCATATCTCAAAAAGTCTTTGTCTACTCTGTATTTGCGTCATTATGGGGATTCAAATTTAGATTCTCTGTCTACGAAAAACGCTGGGAGACAAAATTTTTTGGAATTACCTTATTTGACTAGATTTTTACTTATTGCTGCATTTTTGGCTTCACATAATCCCCGCTCATCGGACAAAAAGCTCCTGACAAAGGTGACTACAGATTTTAGTTTTCGTCGTAGAAAATTTAATTCAAAATGTTTGACCTGTCCTAAATTTCTTTATTAGTACTTCAAAGATTTCCTAAGCACTTTCATTTACAAATCCTATTTCCTGACCCACATATATACAGCTTTATTCGCTTCCTTTTTTACTATTCTATTTAGAACTCCGGACGTTTAAGTATCCGTAAAAAGAAACAGGAAAAGGAAGTATGCAAGGTGAGTTATTATTCTTCGCTAATTCATTACTAACGCCAACAACATTATTGTTGGTTTGCATAATTGTGATAGTATTTTGAAAAGTAGTTCTCACGATCACTAATGTGTATGTCATTCAGATGGATAGTTTATCAGTCAGTTCACCGTTTATTTATGGGTACATCAAGCACCATCGTTTCTCCGTAGACAGATGTAGAGGTCATAAAAGATATCAACCTTAACAAATGCACTCTGACTTCATGGATTGATGATGTCAACCGATGTGGTTATCAATAATATTTGAACGATTATCCAATCAATTTTTTTACAATCACAAATGAATATTGATATACTAATCTCCATGTTAACTTAGTCATAAAGATTTAAATTCACTAAACGATACTCCAAGTTACTTTGATCTGTGCTGCGAAATGTATTGGAGCTCTCAATGTACAAACCTTATCAAACTAGGCAAAACTTTTGGTTACATAAGCGCTATGAACTCGCATAAGTTACAATACAGTCGTACATGATGGACAGCTTACAATTCCATTCCACGTGGAAACTGATGTTAGAGAGAGCTGCTTACTATCACCACCTGTTTTTGCTGTTCGACTGGAATATGAAAGCCTCCACATCTGGGGGAAATCACGGAATAAAATGGACGGCTTGTGTGCAGCTAGACGACTCCATAGATGACCTAGCTGTTCTATCCCATGCACAACGACAAATACAGGTGGAGACAGTTAGTGTAGCAGCTGACTACACCGACAGGCCTCAACTTATATAACGGGAGAAGCAAGATCTTTAAATACAACACAGAGAGAACCAACCTAATCACTCTTAGTGGAGAAGCTCTGGAAGAGGTGGAGACATTTACATATCTAGAGAGTATGATTGATAAACAAGAGGAGCGTGATGCAGTTGTGAAAGCACGAATAGGCAAAGCAATGGGAACATTCCTACAACTAAAGAGTATATGAAACTCAAAACAACCATGCGCCAACACGAAAGTCAGAATCTTCTATACAACCATCAAAACAGCACCATTGTACGGAAAACTACAAACATCATCTAAAAGGTATAGGTAGTTATGAACAGTAATCTGCACAAGATACTCCAGATCCGTTGACCAGACATCTGCAATAACCTACAGTGTTAGAGAACAGACCAACCTCCGGTCGATGAGGAGATCAAGAAAAGTCATTGGAGGTGTATAGGATGCACATTGCGAAAATCATTAAATTGGATCACGAGACAAGCCATAACTTGAAATCCTCATTGCAAAAAGAATAGACGAAGGCCAAAGAACCCATTGTGGCGGTGATTAGAGGCAGGCATCAAAAGAGTGAATAGCACTTGGAAACAACTGAAAAGAAGTGTATAAGACACAGTAAGTTGGAGATGTATGGTCGGTGGGCTGCGCTTTACGAGGGGCTACAGGCATAAGTAAGTATTTACGTCATTATTTTCATCCCAAGCCCCCCACGAAATAAAAATTCACTTATTATCTGCAAAACGACTCGTTAATTGTTAAACATTTTCATTCGACTAATGATAAATGGATACACTTATATTATTATTACTGCATTTGACTTGATTTTTAACGTGTCACATTTATCTATAAAATGAGCATCATTGTCATGAAGAAAGTTTAAAGATGTGTTGCTTTGTATTTCTTAGACACAAGCAGAGTTTACTGGCCCTCGAATCTTCACCCTAGATCGCTTGTTGGCAATATTCTATGTCCTAGTACAAAATGAATTTGCAAAAGTACCATGCACAAGTATTTTAATGAGTCAGATTGCCTGTTTAACAGCCTGTGGTCTTTTATCGCCAAGTTCACAGGCTTTGTCTGTTGGGAATTCATCTACTACTGGATTGAGTACAACAAATAGTTCGGTTAACGCTATATCTGATTTAGACCCTTTGGCTAACCCTAAATATCGTTGCTTGATAAGTTTAGAAATTGCTAAAAGTATAGCACAGTCGGTTGACTTTGATTTGTTATCTCATCTTACAGAGAATTATAACTCGTGAAAAATATACATTTACTGATTTATTTATTTTTGTATCGAGATTCTTTGTATTTTTGTGTTTGTATATATTATTCTCATAGTTTACAGATAATTTGACGTATGTTCTATAAATTACTTAACTTTATGATAACATTTGTTCCTAATTTACTTGATCTGATGTAAGCAATTCAGTTTCTACAGATGGGACTAGTAGTAGTAACCCGAGGAATTATTTTTTTGTCATCCGGCTTATGATTGAAAAATTTCTACCCAGTCTATATTACTGGTGGTGATATATTTAACATGAACTTTTCCAGTGTAAGTTTACTGACCCGGAGTCAATCAAAGTGATAACTAAATCCTACTAGAAGAATTTAAGGTAAACAGTGAATGAACTGACTTTTCGTTATACACAATAGCTCTCAATGACACTAGTTCTGAAAGCCACATATATACCTAAAGGCAAGTACTTTACTTTTTCGGATAGGCATATATAATAGTACTAAGTCTATAAATAAATATATTTTTCTAATGCTATTCTAATCGCGTGAAATACAATAACATTACTTCAAGGTCTTCCTGTGGAGTAGATAAAATTCTTTGTTCAGTTTCACTGGGAATCGCACAAGTAACTCCAGCTGATTATGCATTCGAACATAGTCTATAAATATTTGTTTTGCGCATTGCTACAGCTCTGATAAGGTGAAACTTTCAGCAGTGGCGATTGACTGAGGGATTACATGAACTACTGAAAAACAAGCCAACATTCCAGTCACTTAATATAGAGGTACAGGGAAACTCGTTTTCAATGTACCTCCTTTCAGTTATGAATTCTGTGAGGAATATTTTGTTGCTAACCTGCCCAAAACAACTTGATAGATTACCTCAAGGTACCATCTTATTGCCCGTTTGATCAAGCCGTCAAGATAATCAAATTCAGTGGTTATATTTCCATTATGGATAGTAATTATTACGCAGAACTTGGTCGAGGATAAAAGCATATCGAAAAAGTAAAATTGTAAATACGAAAACAGTATGGTTGACAGAATTTATCTCTAAGGTTCTACCGGTGTTTCTTCATGAGTAGTCTAATAATAGAAACATCAAGAAGATCTGTTTCGTCTTTAGTATTTGTTATAACGCAACATACACTAAAAGTGGGAATTGACTTTTCAAGTTATTACTATCATTATTTTGTCCCCAGTCTATTGTTTAGTCTCTTTTATTTACGGTACTTTCTGGCTTGTTTGTGTATAATTGCTATTTTTGTATAGTGTGATGCGGTCCGGTATGCCTGGATATAAGTCGTCTTTTTGAAATATAAATATAGTAGAGGCTGATTGATTTTTCTGAACTCAAGACAGGACATGAAGAGGAGCTTGCGAGAAGCAGGTCAGTCGGAGCTTAGCTTTTGACTCAAGGTCAGTCGTGGTGATTCGGGATGTAACTGGCAAATCAAATATATTAAGGTATAGACTAAATAATAGACGCGAAGTAGACTAAAATAGAATCAGAATTCTGATTGATGACTTGGCACGTGGTATTTGTCAACGGCCACATGACAACAGTAACCGTTTCTGACTCGTTGACCTCAAAACCAGTTTACGTCTAGTACATCATTCCTAAAAAAATCCTGTCATAGTTTTGTTGGGTTGATCTAGCTATAGTTGGAACCAAATCTTGAATAATTATGCTTTTCCTAGCACTGGCATGAAATTGTTAATAGAAGCAACGTTAGTGAGCTAATAATCTTTTGATCATTCGAATCAATGAGGCAAGCAACTTCCTGTTATAACCTGTATTAATGCTTCGATATTTTAATGGAAATTAGTATGCCTATTACAGATCAAATTAAGGGATATTAATAGTATTTGTTGGTTAAAGTCGTTCGAACTAGAAGACGCACTTCGTCACGGTGACGGCTAAGGCGTTCCCAACGCGTGTGTTTTTATTGTGTTAGTTTGTCTCACTAGACGAGAGCTTCACGGAGCATTGACCTATTGCCTAAGACGCTCGACTTTCGTTTGCTAAGCCCCAGGTATAATCATCTCTGAACAGTATCATTATCCCTGGCACTTACAATGTGGTTCGTACATAAATACTTCATGAATAAATTAGTTGAAAGTTTTCTTGACGTTAAATTGGGGCTCACAATAATTACTTCGAACTGAATAAACTCTTACCGTTAAGTATTTAAGTGACAGCGATAGCAATATAAAGTTCTAGGTTTCATACCTATTTCCCTAGCGTACGTGTATCCATGACTTAATTCACTACTAAAACCAATTTTGTTGAAATTCAGGTGCAATGTGATCACCCATTTGAGAGTAAAAGAGCTGTTTTATGTGCATGATTCGATATTTCAGTTTATTCTCAAATTTCACATGTATCTCATTGAATTTGAATGTAACATCAAATGATACTGTAAATTTTTGTCCTGACTTTTTTAAAGATGTTCTTTGTCATTTTTTCATGTACTTGGTTGGAGCATTGCATCTACTTCTTCAGCAGTTGATGAGAGAACAAACTCATACTGCTCCTAAAATAAAACAAGTACGAAGTATTGTGATCAAATGAAAGCTCCTAGTCATACTTAAGTAGTAAAATAATCGTTCTCCATACGATCACGTTAGCACATTTATGTGCTTGTCCCACACAACATTCAGGTAATATAATCCAAACTGAATCATAGAACATTTCATTCATAATAATATAGGGACGATTTAGTTTAAATCAAGTCGCGATCTGTTTTCTAATTTGCAGTGTCATATGAATGCATGAAACGGGTTTCTTCACCCTGTATATTGAATCTGGAGGCTGTTCGGGCAGTTAAATTTCGTAATATCAATCATTCGTGGAAATCAAAGAATTTCTATATCACAAAATCTGTTCCAGAATTTGCCATCAATTAGTAAGCAAGTAAAATTTCGACTGTGCATAAGAAGGTAATAAAATGTCTACATTAATATGGAAATCATACTACTAAAAGATACAAGTAGTTGGATGCAACGCATACTGGTCCTAAGGTTTCGATAAAAAATCAGATCACAGACTGTTAACATTCTTGATTGTTTCATGTCGTAAGGACAAGTTATCTTGCCTTCACATAAGTATAATTCTCGACGTCGGCTGTACATCACAAAATATAGTAACAATTTTAGATGGATAACCAAACGGTTGCACTGGTTCATTCAAGAGAATTATCATGATCTGAGAAGGTATATTCGGTCTCGATATGGTTAACTGTTTCAGGTACGTTTCTTCTGGGATACTTGCTTACAAACAATAGAAACAGCCGCATAGTTTCCTGTTCATTGACTAATGATAGAACTAGCTCGTCACCTAAAATTGCACGTTTGCTAAAATAAAAAACGATAACTTCAACAGAAAGGAGCTTTTTGTATTCAAAATAGCTAATAAAAACTACAGATCCATGCACGCACCATCTAACTAAATCTATATCACTTAAATGGTAATATCTCATTATTTTTTCATATTCTTAGAATCTAAAACCTAAGAATTGGAATGAACAAGAACTGAATTGGACAATATTTAGTCCCTTTTCTTTTACAAAAAAATAAGAAACTTACCAATGTTTTAATCATATCTGGCCTTTGATCTCTTAGATGTTCCAGTGAAGCAGCTATGTCAATTTCTTTAACACCTTTAGTGATGCGATTTAGGACCAAATCTAATAAAATATATGCACCTGTTCGTCCGCATCCATCACTAAGAATATAATTAATAGAAATTCCATCTGTAAGCCAGTAGGAATTGTAAATTTATTTTGTTTAAAAATGAATGATGCGTAACTCTTATACGTGGTATCCTAGACAAACCGTCTGCGTCCTGTCATTCATCATAATGAACAATAAAAGCCAAAACAACCAGAGGTGGCTTAGTATTCAATTCGTTTGACTTCCAGTCATTAGTTTACTAAATCTATTCCTTTGCACCTCCTTTAGGCAACTGGTTGGTATCGCTACCTTTCATGCATGAATTGTGGCTTGAAGCCAAGTATACTGAAAACTGAGTTGGATTGAGTGAAAGGAACTTTTCTTTTTCCGGTTGTTAGTCTCAAAGCTTTAAAAGCAACGTAGAGATAAGAAATTGCATGTTATTGATTGTGATTAGTCCAAATAGTCAATCCATTCATTCTTCACCTTTGACTACTGAACATTTGTACGGTATTATTTCTTTTTCCCTATTAATGTTGTTTTTCATGTTATTCCTATACCTTTTATTTATTATGTTCCATCTTTTCTCCTGTGTTACAAAAGGTAGTGGTTTTTAGTCAACATACTACAGTACTTCGTGCGATCGAATCCAGAAAACAGTTATTCACAATTAACCCTAGTAACGTAAGAAACTAAATTACGGTAAGAACTCTGTTATGATGGAAAGTCTCCGAGGTCTGATCTGATACACCGTGCTACGCGCAGCCAACCACTGAATTAGAACATAAGATTGAAAGAAAGTCTATTGGGCTACCGAGTACGTATATAAATACTCACTTATATTTAAAGCAGTTAGTTCCGTTGATAAATTTCGATAATGTAGTAAAAAGACGAAGATTATCAGAACTATGTGATATATTAGCGCAATACATTCCGAACAATTTGAGCACACATATACTTGTTAAGTAAAGTAATCGAACGCGTCGACAACTACGCTTTTCTTGGAATTCTAATCAGCCCTAATGGGTTGGTGTCTGACGAAATCTCAGCACGGATTCGGAAAGCTCTTTTGCCAACTTGCGTCACCTATGGCGAAGGCGAGATATTCGTCTATCAATTAAAGGATAAGTATACAGTGCGGCAGTTCGTTCTGTTCTACTTTACGGCGGCGAAACGTGGGCATTAAGAGTAAAGATATTTGTAAGCTATTAGTATTTGACCATAGATGCCTTAAAAATATTGCTCGCATCTGCTGGGATTACCGGGGAAGTAATAGTTTTTAATCTTCACTGACTGAGATGGTTGGGCCACGTGTTACGTATGCCTGAACACCGATTACCACGTTGTGCAATGTTAACGGGTGTTAGAGGTGGTTGGAAGAAAATTAGGGGCGGCCAAACCAAAACGTGCCATCAGTGCTTGAAGTCACTAACTTCTGGCCTGAGCCATGTTGGTAGATACAGA